AGAGAGAGAGACAGAGAAAGAGAGAGAGAGAGACAGAGAAAGAGAGAGAGAGAGACAGAGAGAGAGACAGAGAAAGAGAGAGAGAGAGAGACAGAGACAGAGAGACAGAGACAGAGAGAGAGCGAGCAAGTTGAGAGAGAAAGAGCCTCAAATACCTAACTAAACTCACTTGAACTTTGCATAGAAATGGGCAAGAAACATTAAGTCGTGAAGCAGACGAAAACTGTAGACACGCCACACAAAAACATGTACAGATACAAGCAGAAAAACACTCAGCCTCTCAGTGACAAGCTGGGTAATAGATTCTCCGTTTGTTTATTTTATAATGTGTTTTTTTCGGCATATATTCAACACTGTACGTTAATAAAGATGCCCAGTGCTCATATGACTTTATGCAGTTGCGAGCGCTGTAAAACCTCTACTAAAACAAAAGATGCCCAAGAATAGAGTAGCGAGTGAGCAATGATAGTGATATAAATAAAAGAGCACAAATACACACCCACTCACCACCCTCCTCCCCTTCTATCAGCAAAAGGCACAGAAAGAGCACAGGAGTTGGTCATGTACCCACTCCGTTGGCAGTCTTTCTTTTTGTGAGTAGTATAAACATAGACCCCAACACTACTACCCCCCGGGGCAGTGATACTGACTGAAGTGTCTTTAGGCCATTCTCAAAGGGGGTCATTAATATTTTCTTATTCACAGTAGAATTGTAAATGGGCTGATTCATCAATGTCATGCTCATAACGGTGCCTGAACTGCAACAGGGAGCTGCTGCTTTTTCTTTCCTAATCCTTACTATCGTCATTTTCCTCTACTTCTTTTGTATGTTTGTCACACTCTTGTGACCCGCTATTTCTGGGGTGCCTGATAATCGAAGCAGACTTGTTGTTGAGGCTAGAGAGGTATGCAGAGTAAGCCAGATTCCCTGACTGTAAGGACTTCTCTGTTGACATCCACCCTTTGGCGCTCATATGACCTTATGCAGTTGCAAGCGCTGTAAAAACTCTACTAAAACGAAAAACTCTGTCCGTCCTGCTTTTTTTCTTGCACTTCACTAAATGACCGCTATTGTGTTGATGTATTTCTCTTTTACTCAAACCACATTCAAACTTTGAAATGTGGGTGGTTGACGGGTGCTCTGGTGTGGTTTGCTTCTTCTTTCCTATAAACATCTATCGTCTTTCTCTCCCCTTTTTCTTTTTTATGTTTGTTACTCTCTTGTAACACATCTAATCTTCTGGCGCTCAAATGACCTTATGCAGTTGCGAGTGCCGTAAAACCTCTACTAAAAACAAAAAACTTTGAAATCGCCATCCTGTATCAGATATATTTTACTACTGTTTGTTGTTTACGTACTAAGGCCTATATGAGTTTTGCATTGTTCCTGATACGAATAATGATATTTTTATGTAATTTGGCACTTGTTAGTATTTGGCCTTTTTGCTTTTGATTCTCCACTTCGTGGCTGTCGCGAACAATCCACTTCAAGTCCAAATTTTGAGAAATTTCAATTTTTACTCCCTCCCTCCCAAAGCTCTCTATCAATGATGCTCCCTTTCCATTATTTCAACATCACCAAAATGCTGTTTAATTTTATGGTCAAGGCTTACACTTTTTTTTTGCTT